GTTGACCCATGCACCAAGAGGTTGCTGGTTCGATTCCCAGTCAGGGCACATGCCCAGGTTGTGGCCGATCCCCAGTGGGAGGCATGCAGGAAGCAGCCAATTGATGTTCCCTCTCATCAATGTCTCTATCCCTCTCCCTTCCAAAATTAACAAAGAAAAATTATTTTTCTAAAAATCTAATTCTAAATGGCCTTGCTGCTGAATTTATTTAGTGTTTAGCAGTGTCCACCACCATACATGCTCTGTAGGTTGCTTTGGATATTTGGGTGAATGAGAGAGACTCCTCTGGCATCACGTGGAAAGGAGGCAGAGAGGGGGGTCCCAGGAAACCAGCAGTCATGGGGGTCATTCTGTCCACTGTGGTTTATGATTATACTCAGGGGCTTTCATATGGACACATTCGTGATGAGAATAACCAATCACGAAGGGCTCCGCACGGATAAAGGCAAACAAGAATGCTCATCAATTATCCTCATTGTTCTGCTTGTCCCCACTTAGACCTATTCTCAATCCTTCGCCCTGCTCGGAACTCCAGGAGGCTAACTTTAAAAGATGACGCCCCAGCCCTGGCTGGTTTGGCTCAGTGGTTAGAGCGGCGGCCTGCGGTCCAGAGAGGCCCGGGTTCAGTTCCCGCTAAGGGGCATGTACCTTGGTTGCAGTTTGTCCCCGTCACGTCGATGTTTCTCTCTCTCTCTCTCTCTCTCTCTCCCCCTCCCACTCTATCTGAACAAAAAATAAAAAAATGTCCTTGGGTGAGGATAAAAATAAAAATAAAAAAAAGATGACGCCCCAGTTGGGACCAGCCAGTGAGAGGTACCAACAGGAACCTGGCAATGGGAAGAGGGTGAGGGATACATAAACCCCCCATTTTATTTGTGGTTCTGAAAGGGCCGAATCCCCCTGTGGCCTCCATGTGTGCCTGGGCCTCTTTTCAGGCCTGGGATGGTAGCCACTTTCCACGTTGCTAGTGCCTGGGGACTTCACTGTTCCTTGTTTGTTCTTCAGCTTTGCCTTCTGTACATTGTCCCTTCATTCAGCTCTTCAGTCAAGCTTTTGAGTGTGTGACCTGTTTACTGCCAGGCCTGTGATTGATAAAGTTGTCTCTAAGAGTGAGCCCTTTGAGAAGTCATGGACAAGCCACAAAGGGTCACTCACGGATCTTCTCAAGGTGTTCTCCCCGAGCAGACAGGTATGGGCAGAGTGCAGGGGCAGGTCATCGGGCCCCTCACACGAAGTACCCAGTTCATCCCATTTCTCTGTGCTTAGATGAGCTCCTTGAGACAGTGTTAACATGCACAGACCAATCCACCTGTGCCTTGGCTGGCAGCACAGGGACCAGCTTCATTGCTGAGGTCATTTGTAGGGTGAGAAATCATATTTAGGCATCAGACCCTTATTTGAGGTGCCTGGTTTAAGGGGAACCGCTCTGTTCTGGTTGTGTTGTGAGGTTTTAACAAATAAAAAGCCACAAAGTCTCATGTAGTTAGGTTGATATTTAATTCTAAGGAACCTAGGTTCTCATACAAGGCAGGAGATGGGAACCAGCTGCTCCCCATAAGCCTTTCTAGCCTGGGTGACTGAGGCTAAGAAGATGAGGGCACATGGGACATATGGATGGGAGGGGCTCTGGCACAGGGTGTCCTGCCCAGAGCTGAGGGTAGCAGCCACTGGGATCTGCCCGCTCGGCTGGCCCAGGTCTGCCATCACTCCAGGAGGCAGAACTCTGTCTCCTGTTGTCGCATGTTGGGTAACACATACAGAGCCACAGCTGCAAGAGCCAAGAACACCACAGGCTTCCACATCCCAAACATGTTCTGTGGGGACCAAAGACAAACGGTGAGTGCCCAGCCTCTGAATCCTTCCCTAAGCCAGAGATCCCCTGCCTGCTGGTGCTGGAGACACCTCGGGACCACCATGGCCCACTCCCTCTTACCTTCTGGATAACTGCTGGAGGCAATGTGGTCTGAGTCTGGGCACCACGAGTACCTGGGACAACCCTACGTGTACCACCTGCGGTGCTGCCTGTATGCACACCCCACGGGATGGGAAGAGGACCAGTTCCTGTGTGTGGAAGCAAGCTCAGGAGCCAGACTTCAGAGTATGCAAATGGGTGCGGTGAGAAAGGGTCGGATACCATGGCAAAACTACGAGGGTAAGTGTGACCCTTAGGGAAAAACTGCAGCACCTCATTAGTTTCGTGGAGAATGAACGCGGAGTCAAGAGGATATTAGGACGAAGCGGGAAGTGAAGAAAGTACACCGCGGAGTGCAGCAAATACGAGGTTCTAAGGCAGCCCAAACCCTTTGTGGAGAATGATGTTGACTCAAGGAAATTCAAGGAAGCTGGTCACTGGCCCTGGGAGGCAAGTGCCAGTGTCACTGAACACCCCCAGTTACCAGGTGTGTCGACTGACTTCCTGAGCATGTGCGGAGGCTGCCAGACCCTGCTGACCATAGCGAATCTTGCTGATTCATGGGACAACAATAAGCATCATTTAGGGAACAGGAAATCCTGGACAAGAAAATACATACTTGGGGAAGTAGCTCCTACTTTTATTACTTTTTTTTTACTGTATTACTTGAAAGACAGAATTTGGGTTGTAAGTTGTAAACAATGGTGTAACAGTTATAGGGAAGGGCGGATACAGCCCACTAAACTGCATTTGCTCAGAGCATAACGAATCTAAAAGAGGATTTTAAGCCAACTATAAAGAGCAAAGAAAATCTCCTACACTTGTGAAAATAGTTACTAAAAAGAACATAAGATATGAAATGAGAAGCAAAACAGTGTTGGAGGTGTATATATACAGTAACCCATGTAAGAAAATAACTGGAAAGAGAGCTGGGAAAATATTTACACGCTCAGACACCGCTGTCCTAATGCACACTGCTGACAATGTCAGCCTGACAGACTTGGAGGGGGACAGCGCTGAAACCCACACACGTGAGCTGGCGCCCTCCGCCCAGGCAGAGGCAGGGCTCCACACTGGCTGAGGAAAGGGCTGGTTTGGGTGTCACAAAGGGGTACGTCACGTCAGGCTTTCCTTTCAGACTCAGTCACTCTATTCACAGAACAACAGATGATATATTATAGAACTGTACCCATGAAACATGCATAATTGTATAAATCCAATGAAACCCAATAAATCCAATTAAAAATAAAAATAAATAAAATACATTCACAAATCCAGAAAATCATGTTTTGGACTTGACCAAGGGGTCTGAGCAGGGTTTCCATAGAGATGAGGGCGTGAGTAGGATGAAAGCAGTTTGTGATGGTTTGTTGGGTGACCAACGAGCCAGAGAAAAGCCTGGAAAGACGGCGTTGAAGGCCTGGCCCTCGCCTGTTACGTGGATGAGGGTATGAGGGGGCTTGTCACCTCTCAGGATGACGTGAAGCTAGTCGGGAAACGGAATATTTTGAAACCAGAGTCAAGATTTTTAAAAACTTCTTCACGGGTTAGATCAATGGTTTATCTCTAACAGGAATAAATGAAAAAGTTCTGTCTTGGGTCCACAAAATCAACTGCAGGTAGAGAATGGGGAAGGGAAACCGAGCATATGTGACAGCAAAGGGGTTTTATAAACAACACATGAAATAAGTTAACAATGTGATATTGGTTATCCGGAGAGCGAATGGGATCCGAGGCTGCACAAAGAGCGGGATGGTGTCTTCCTCACCACCTGGAGGCAACCAAGGAAAATGGCTCAAAATGAGGAGAGATGCTAAGGGCAAACAGGACTGGGATTTTATCTGTTGCTAATGTCAAGTCCTTAGAATTCAATTAACAATTTCCTGGCTGTGTTACTTAACCTCTCTGTGCCTTAGTTTTATCACCTATCAAACAACAGCAGCTACCTCATAGGGTCCTTGTAAGATTTAAATGAGTTACTACAGATAAGGTGATTAGAACAGCATGGCACATAGCATGCATTATGTAAGTATATGTTCTTTTTATTATTTACATGGTATTTTATCATTTGTAAAGTACATTTACATACATGAACTCATCTCCTTCTCAGTGAGGAAGGCAGAGGTTTTATCATCCTTTGCTTACATGTGAAGAAACAGAAACTCAGATTATGCATTTTGCCCCTGAGCTAAACTGTAAGCCCCAGAGACAGACCGCCAAGTTCTCTGACCACTTTGTCAGCCAGTTTCTACCTATGCTGCCTCAAATTCCTGGCTGGGGAGCTGCATATTGGGGTACAGCCAGACTCTAGGTGTAACCCCTACCCGGGAGTTCCTTCCTCTCACCCTGCTTTGGCCTGGCTGAGTTTGTGCTGCAGAAGGGTTACAGTGGATGCTCTGGTTCTCATCCCACAGGGGCCCGGAAGCCAGGATATACAGGGGAGGAACAGGTACAGGGAGACCCTGTCACTAAAGGAGCTGAAGACTGTCCATGGGGCATAAGTGGAATGCCTGAAAGAAAGGAGAAGGGTTGAAGAGGAAAACAAAGTGAGAGGGGGAGGAAGGAGAAAAAAGGAAATGGTGATAAGAGCTACCAGCAAATGCTTCAGCTGCCACTCTGGGCCTACACGTTAAGCCAACCCCACTCCACTCGGGCTGGAGGGTCGGGGTGGGGCGGAGAGTGGCAGGAGGAGCCGAGAGAGGAGCTAAAACAGGCCGAGAGAAGAGTGTATGGCTCCAGAGGGCAGGTGGGACCCTGCCTCCTGAATTTGGGACCCTGTTGACAGACCGGATTACGTGGACTGGCCACCTGGAAGGTGCCCAGAATGTACCAGCCTTGGTCCTCCAAGAACATTTGCATCTCTGGTTGGTGGAAACTTTTCACCAGTCCAGTACCACATTCTCTCCAGAAAGCCCAGCTTGGTAGGCCAATTATAATAGAATCTGCCCCCCAAAAGGGATAAACAGAGAACTAGAGAATATTTCCTGGCATTCTTGTTCTGATTTTCCTGGAGACCAAAAGCCCCAAATCAGAGAACCTCTCAGTAGAAAGGGGTTCAGTTCCATTTTCACCAAGGTTGAAGGATGGATCGAGGCTATCCTCACACACACGACCCTGGGGAGTCACAGCTGTGCAGACCTCCTGTCTCACCCAGCAGGGGAGGCAGTGAGTCCTTATTTTGTCCGCCTGGGTAGTTACAACAGTGAGAGCTTGGCTCTGGGGCTAAACAGCACCCAGGCCAGCCTTGCAGACAGACATCAGCTCGTCAGAAGTAGCTGGGCAGCTTTGAAAGTAGCAACAGCACTGGATCATCCACATTTTTCCAGCCAGAAGATAGAAACTCAAACTACGTCAACAGTGAGCATTCCAACTAACTCCCTACGTGTTATGATGACATTCTTCGAGAAGTCACGGGCTTTGCCGTAGCCCAAGGGAAAGCCAGGGCTGAAACCCAAAGCCCAGTTTTGCCTGTTATAAAATGGCAAAAGCGAGAAGCAAGCAGCTGAGAAAAGGGAAAGAAGGGAGGCCAGGGCAACCTGCACCCTCCCTCGATCCCGCAGAAGAAGACTCATACCAGTACCTGCGTTAGGACGACGTCTCAGCCCACCAGCACCAGAGTAAAGCTGATATGACCACCAGGCCTACGAGAGGCAAGGAGAAGATGGGGGGATTGGGGGCAGGGGATGGCTGCAACATATCAAATGAGAAAGAAGCGCAAGGAGAGACCAGGAGATGAAAGGTGGCGTAAAAAGACACAAACACATGAAGCCAACAGATAACGAAGATGAGAAAACAAAGGGAAGAGAGAGAGAGAGATCGAGAGATTAAACAGCTGGCCAGCAAGCGCAGCGGGGTTTCTTCTCCGCTACCCGGGCCTGGTTCGCCCCACTGGCGGCCTCCAGAATGTTCAAAACAGAATAGTTCTCCACCAGGGTAGGTCCAGCTTTCCAGCTTGCCATGTCCCCCTCATATCTTGTCGAGCAGGGTGATCTGCACCCAGACCTTCCCTGGAGGTCGGTGACTCTGGAGAAGTGGGCTCTGGCGAGGGAAGCTGGGCTCTCCAGACGAGAAGGATGTACACTGTCACCCTAGGAAGAGCCCGGCTCCTGCCAGGCCACCTGTCCCTTTGTCAGCCCCCTGTTCCAGCTGCTTTCTGCCACATCTCTAAGTGTTCTGGGCTCTGGTCCCTGTGATCCCCTAGGAGTGCAATGCAGCTGAGAGACAAAACGCGCTGAAACAAGCCAGCAGTGGAGAAGGGCCAGGTCTTTGTCTGCAGCAAGCTCCCCGAGAGAAACTGAGTTTGAGGCGCTAACACTTGTATCAGCAGAACAGCCTGTAAAGGATCCAGGACCCACTGCGCCAAGGGCCCCTCCATATGCAGACACAGGAAAGTGCCTGACTCTGGGAAAATCAGGTTTGGCATTTAGAAATATGGCACCCAAGGCCCAGCCGGTGTGGCTCAGTGGTTGAGCATAGACTCACGCACCAAGAGGTTGCCGGTTCGCTTTCCAGTCAGGGCACATGCCCAGGTTGTGGGCTCAATCCCCAGTGGAGGGCACGCAGCAGGCGGCCAATCAATGTTCTCTCTCATCGATGTTTCTATCTTTCTCCCTTCTCTCTCTCTAATATCAATAAAGAAAAAAAATATTTTAAATGCCCTGGCCGGTTTAGCTCAGCGATTGGAGCGTGGACCTGCAGTCCAGAGAGACCTGGGTTCGGTTCCCGCTGGGGGCACGTACCTCTGTTGCAGTTTGTCCCCGGCCCTGGTTGGGTCGTGCGGATGGCAGCCACTCGATGTATCCCTTTCACGTCGATGTTTCTCTCTCTCTCTCCCCCCCTCCCACTCTATCTGAACAAAAAAATGAAAAAATGTCCTCAGGTGAGGATAAAAAAAAATTGTTTTAAAGAAATATGGCACTCAAGGCCAGGAAATCCCTGAGGCTCTGACCCAGCATGTGGTGGAAAACCATGAATTCAAGGAGACAGAACACGGGGAGAGGCTGCGGTTCCCCCACTTCACCTCTAAGAAACGGCCTGCCAGGCGGGCAAGACCTGCGCACTGGATCCGCAGCCAGGGCTGTGGACCGACCTGCCGGTGAACTCCAGGTGGCCCTCAAGTTGACGGACATCCCACCACAAGGACTTATTGTTCACAGGGACAGAACACCTGGACTGTAAACTGAGGACTTATTCAGGAAGTGCTCAAACTCTTCAGGGAGCCAGAGCCCCCAGTTAACCTTAACCAGGCAGGAATTCGGCTGGTACATACCTGTACAGATGTACTAGTCCTTAAACTATAGAAATACTTCTGCATTTTTGTTGTAATTATTCAGGATATTCCCACCCCAACCTCTTACGATCCAGCAAGTAAAGGATTAGGGAACTGGCTGGTCCCCAGACCGAAATGTCACTTCTGATCACTCCAGGGCCCCACCCTCATGCCTTGTAATATATAGAGCCCAGTGGGTGACACCACCCTCTACCCACTCCTAATGGCAACAACAAAGGTCAAACTTAAAGGGCACGGTGGGAAAGGGGGACTGGATGACTGACCCAGGCTGACAGGTCGCGCACTGTCAGCGTCCCTAGTGCACCAATGCACTCAGGCAGGGGGAGCACCCTCCTGACGTAAATAACAAGTGCTAGCGGGTCAGTGAAGAGAGGCAGGACTCCAAAGACCCCACCTTGGTTCCCAGCAAAGGGGGTCTTTGCGATACAGTTCCACAGCAAATTGGTTTAAGCCTGCATTTCCCACAGAGAGACTACTCTCTCCAATCCCGTCTCCATTTCCACGTTCCCTGAGTGGTCTGCCTCAGAGATCACTGGCCTCTACTCCTGTAGAAGTCCATCCCAGGGCTGGGTCACCCTGAACACCGGCGCATCTGAGCCCAAGGGCCCGTTCCCCACTGCACCCAGCCTTTGGCTGCGGTTACCTTTTTGCTCTCAGACATTTTGAGGAGGTTTTCCTCTGAAGTTTCAGGGCAAGAGCCGTTGTCCTCCTCATCTTGGTTGTCTTCTTCCTTACCCTCCTGGTCTTGGCACTCTTCAGACCCCTCCTCCTCCTCTTCTGTGGGCTTCGTTTCTATGAGAGCTGGGGGGGGCTCAGACACTACTTCCTCCCGGGACTCCTCCTTTGGTTCCTCTTCAGCTTCCTCCTTCTTTTCCTCCTCCACTTCCTCTTTCGGAAGACCCTCTGAATCTGTGTGGCTGGCCTTGTAGTACAGCACTACCTCCAGACTCTGTGGGCGGAGGCGGGGCGGGATGGGGGATGCTGTTACCTGCCAAGCTCCCTACCCTCAACACACCGCCGAAGGACTCGAGAACACTCTGCTTCCCCTGTCATGGTGCGTGGGCGGCACTGAGACCTGGGACTGAGCGGATCTCCTGCACACGGCGTGGAGGCAGTCACACCCAGCCTCCCCGGACTGCGCCTCGGCCTGGACATCAGCCTCCCCAGACAGCTGCCAGAGCTAAGGCTTCTTGAGCTCTGCACCTCAACCGCTCTTGCTATACCTGCACCATGACTCCTGCTTGACCGAGTCCTCTTTCACTCTTGTGTACACAGCTACTTTGAACAACTTCCTCTCTTTTCATCCATTTGGTCCTTCTCTCGAGCATGTGACCCAGGGAGAACGGGGCCCCAGAACACTGGGCTGGGTTAACTGGAGCAGTTGTCCAGCCCAGCGGCTGTGGTCCTTTGGGGCTGTAACCCCACATAGGAGTAGTCTGCTCTCTGCTCTCCCCTTAACTTCACGGAAAAGGGAGTACATTCCATTGCTACCAGGATGGAACTATTCTAGACACCTTAGAGACCCCAGAAGCTGCTCTACAAATACCTCACGTGGTCAGACTGGTGGGAGAGGTGATTTTTCTTCCCAGGATCTCACCTACTTGTCTACATAGGTTACTACTCACCTGCCTGGACTCACAGATGCTCTCAGAACTCTCCAGGCTTGGCTTGGTCACCTTTTTATTTTTAACCCCATTGGCATTCTTGTTCATGTTCTTACTGGCATTCTTGCCCTTGGTAGCAGGGGGCCTCTGCTCTTTGAGCTGGCGAAGCTCTTCCTGGCAGCACTGCAGCTGCCCCTCCAACTGCTCCTGCACCGCCAAGAGCCGGCCCTGCTCGTCCATGCTGGCCTGGTACTGCAGCTGCAGCTCCCGCAGCTTGATCTGCAGCTCTTTGATCTGTGGGCAGTGAGGGCCAGTGACCCCGTCTGGCTGGCGGGTCGGCCTGGGCCCTGCCTGGGATCACTGCCTCGGGAATGTCCCTGCTAGGGCCCGAGGGGAAGCAGACAAGAGAGAAAACACGAGGGAGCTGGAGTTGGCAGCAGAACGTAAGGATTGAGAGTGCGGCCTCTGGGTTCAGATCTCAGCCCCAACACTTAATTAATAACACTGGACACGTTACTAACAAAAGAAAGAAAACACGAAACTGTGGAAAATGAGCCCTAAAGCAGTTTGCAAAGAGCTCCTCCCTCACGAGGCACCGGACGGTTTACATCTAACTTGATCGAAAGGATGATTTAAATTCTATTTTTACTGTGACCTATCTGGAGAATAACTGTAGGCTACCCCTGCTGAACCTTGGGCTTTATTCTATCATGGTTTTTGATGGGCCCTTCTACTCCACCCAAACGCTTTCTCTGCCAGGAGCAATCACCTAAGGAAGTGTGTCGGACACGCCTGAGTGTACCTGGGCACCTCCACCTCGCCCTGCACAGAGGCAGTCCCAACCCAGCTCCCAAACCTCTGCTTCTCTCTTCTGACTCTGGCAGCACGCAGGGTCTCCTTGGTAGGTACCGACACTAAGCTGCTAGGCCCGTGGGTCTTGCTCTCTGAACCTCTCCCCTGCACACACAAGGACCCCCCCAGGACAGTGGGCTACTCTCGGTCAGAGACAATGTCTTCTGTGCCATTACTAGTGGGTGCAGAGCACTCTTATTACAATTATGACAGACCCAAGAGGAGGCGGGGCCCTGTCCTTGAGGTGCTTACAATCTAGTTGAAGAGAGAAGAGAAAAACACACAAAATAACTAAAGAAAGTTGGGAGATGAAACAATACAGCTCCACAGAAGTGCTCTGGGGCACAGAGCAAAAGAGAGAACAGAAGTGGCAAAGGGGAAGAAGTATTCAGAGAGCTGTGAAGATCAGCAAATCCCGCGCAGTAGGCCCCTGAGAAATGTCCATCCGTGACGCAGCAGACCGCCCGGCTTCCTGCGACTCAGTGCCCTCTGCGTCCCTCTGGCCAGGAAGGGGACAACTATGCCGAGCTGGCAGTGAGCTCCTGCCCCTCTCCTCAGCCTCTCTGAGATAGCTATGACCTCCTCTGGCTCCAGGGACTCCTCCAAGCAACCCTGACAGCAGTTACCTCATTCTTGTCACTCTGGGAGGCAACAGGCTTCTCAGGGCCCTCGATGCACTCCCTGAACTCCTTCTCACAGGCCTCCAGCTCTTCCTTCAGCTCCTTCTGCTGGTCCAGGTGCGTCCTCATCCGCTCTTGCAGCAGGTTGTGCTCCTCCTGGCTGAGCTGGTACATGGCCTGCACTCCCTGCAGCTTGACCAGCACCTCAGCCACCATGTCATCAAAGTGCTGTGGAGGGTGGGGGAGCGATGATGGCACCCTGGGAAGCACCTGCCCTCTGCCCCGCTCTCTTGGCTAGGCCCTCCCTGAATAAGACAAGAACCTTCTTTCCCTGTCTGCCGTGTCATCTGGCTACTTTTACCTCTATATCTTTGGGCTCAGCAGGTTCGTCGTCAGTGCTGGTGACATAACTCTTATGAAAGGTGTCAGAGCTGCTGCCGCTGCTGCTGCTGCTGGTGCGGTAACTCTTCATGCAGGTGTCGGTGGCACTGGTGCTACTGTCATAGCTCTTGAGAAAGCTCTCATCACTGGCCTGGGTGCTCCCGTAACTCTTGTGAAAGCCCTCACTGGTGTCAATGCTGCTGCCATAACTCTTCTTGTAGGACTCAAGGCTCATTTTTATAGAAGGGGACTGGGCTTGGAGCAACTGCATTTCTTCCAGGCAGAGCTGCAAGTCAGCCTGCAGCCTTTTCCGCTCCTCTAGGAGCCGCTCCTGCTCCTGCCGCAGTAGCTCCTGCTCAGTCTGGCTGGTCTGGTACAGGTCCTGCAGGGCCTGCATCTGGGCGATGATCGCCCTGGACTGCTGGAGTGGGTGGGAGACAGGAGCGTTACCCTAACGCTGCAGTCCTGGCCGCACCCCTCCTGGAGCAGTCGTCTGAGAGCATACCTTAGAGAACCAACACCTGCACTCCAGCCTCACGATAGCCTAAGTCATCAACTTGGCCTACAGGTAACCTGCGTGGGTCAGTTTCTCGCGCATTGGGGAAAATCTCCCCAGGGCAGATGCTCCCAGTCTCTGGGCTCCCATTGCTGTTGTGTCTGCCTCCCTCTCTCCTTGGAGCAGTGCTGAGTGGGTCTCCAGAACACTCTGGCTCCCTACCCTGTGCTCTGCTCAGTCAGGTGTACCCATCATCCTGGCCTTTAGACTCAGTTCCCTACCCTCAGTTCTAAAATCAGCCTTGGACTTGAATACGAAGGATTCCTTCCTCAGAAGATGGGGACTTGGGATCAAGGTCTCACTACAAGTTCCTGTACCTCCTGCCCCAATTCTGGATCTGGACTCGGCGCATGTTTCCGAGGCCCTCTGGGCCTGGCTTCTTGGCTGCTGATGCCCGAGCTGAGATCTGCTTGGTTAAGGAAATATTCCATACTGGTTCCTGGTCTCTGTTTTCCAGGCTGAAATCTGATGCCGCTGGAATCTGACCTCATCTCACAGTTTGGACTCCTGCTATTGCCTGGATCTCCCTGTCTAGGCTAATATCTGAATGAAATGATTTTGCCTAAACTGAAACAGTCTACCTGCTCTTCCTTGCTTCCACGGAGACCTCAGACTAAATTCACCCCCCAGATCTGACTTACTTGGAAACCTCTATCACAGAAGCCCCAGAGGCCCGACCCTTACTGGTGTCTAACCTCCCTGACCAGGCTGTTATTGGCTGTTATTCTTGCCAATGTTGCAGTGAAAACAGTGTGGTCGGTACCCACATGCTAGGAACTCTTCCCTTGGAAATGAATGGCCCGTACGGGCCTCATGTGGAACACCAAAAGGTTTTAGATTTATCATTGAAAAGTGTACTTCTCAGTTATCAACGAGCTCATGAGAAAAAGAGGACACCTTTAGAGTCAGTCCCAAGCAATCCAAACAAACACTAAAATGATAACATACATCCAGAAAATGAGATGCTAAAGGGGTTGAGATAAATTATCAGGCCAACACAGACTCCAGGTCATCCTGGTTCTAAGGGTTCATGGGGCTTCAGCTGGGCATGCAGATGGGTGAAGTCCTCAGGCTGTATCTAAAGCCTCATCTTCATGGGCCCATGAGCGGTCATGGCTGGGGCAGGTCAGAGCTTCCGGCTCATCCTTCTCCTGGCCAAACAGGCCTTCCTAACACTGACCCTTCTGTGCAGTCCCTCTCCCTGCTGTTCCCAGAACCGCATCCTGCCTCTTGCTATGGTTACCTTGTTTTCAACACATTTTGAGGACTTAAGCGATTTGGAACCTTCCGGATTCTCCACTTCCTGGAAAAAAGATTCTTTGAAAAGATGCAGCTCTTTGTGCAGCTCTAATTGTTCTTTTAAAACCTTTCCTTGATTCTGTATCAGTTGCTTCTGCTCCTCCTGCATGCCTTGGTAGAGCAGCTGTAGTTCATACAAGTCTTGTAACTTGGTGAGTAGCTCCTGACTCTGCAGGTAGAGTGGGAGGGAGAGGGCAGGAACTGTGATGGTCACGTGGACAGACCTCTGCCTCCTTCCTGCTGGAGCCCCTCCCTCCCCTTAGGAATCTCTGGATTGGCTCTGCACAGCCCATCTGGGAAGGGGGCAGTCCTTCTGGGGAGATCTGCTAGTTGAACAGAACAGATCTCATATGTTCGGATGTATTTTGTCATTTATAAAGTGCTTTCAAGTATGCTTTCTCCAGCTAGACTAAATATCTAAATATAAAATTCCGGACAGATTCCATAGCATAAAATGTATTTTAAGATGTAAAACCCTAGCCCTGGCCAGTGTGGCTTGGTTGGTTGGAGTGTGGTCCCTTGCACCGGAAGGTGGAGGGTTTGATCCCCGGTCAGGGAACATATCCAGGTTGCAGGTTCAGTCCCCGGTTGGGGTGTATGTAGGAGGCAGCTGATTGATGTTTCTCTCTCTCTCTCTCTCTCTCTCAAATTAATAAAAACATATCCTTGGGTGAGGATAAAAAAAAAATACATGTAAAATCCTAATCAGCTATATTGAATTTTTTGGTTTGAAATTGGTGAGAAAATAAGGAGTGGTTGGTTAAGGGAAGAAAAATCTCAATCCCAAGTATAGTCACACCTGGGAAGCTTCTCAAAGCCACTTGTCCATACTTGGTAGCCGTTGGCTGGCTGGCTTTACCTTCCGGAGGAGACCAGATTTGGGTAGTGGGAACGTGAGCCTGTGCAGCTCTTCTTGCAGCTGGCCCTGCTCCTCCTGCAACCTCCTCTGATCCTCCAGGAGTTCGCACTGCTCCATCTGCAGCTGCCCCATCTCCTTCTGGCTGGCCTTGTACTTTTCCTGCAACGCTGTCAGTCGGGACAGCAGTGCATCACACTGTGGGTGGGCGGGGCATGGGGGGCTGGTTACTCTGTGCGGTAGTTCTCCGCCTGTGTGGCTAGTAGAGCACTCCTGTGGCCTCCCCCCTCGAGCCATTCACCAGGGTCGCCCTCCCTGCACTGATCATCCCAAGCCACACCGCGCCCAACAGGTTTTAATGCTGAACAGGTAACCCCAGCGGGCTGCTTGGGACAACTGTTTGGCTGTGCTCTAAATTTTTCTACTAGTCCCTTCTGAGAGTATTTGCGTGGGAGTGTTGTCAATGCCCCTCCCTCTTCATTTGCCCTGGCTCCCTTTCCTTTGGTATATACCATTTTCTCACCCTGCCTGGAATTCTACTTCCTGTTACTCTCATTACCCTCAACTTGTTTTTATTCCTAAGTATTGGTCCTTACCAATAAGGAAATTGGACTTAATTTCACCAATTTCCCCCCCCATTTTTGTCTTCATAATCATCTTTTAAAATCTTTAGAAAAGTATGTGCTATTGCTGAATTTGGGTTAAGAAGACGAAATCATCCTATGATTCCAAAAATCTAAATCTTCTAGTATCAGACTCAGCTCAGTGCTGTTTTATGACCAGAGGAGAAGCTGGCTCTGTGCGCCAGCTGGCGTCTCTTTCACTAGGCGGGGAAGCGACGAGCAAGGCGCAGACCCCCTCACTCCCACGTTTAGTGGAACAGGGAAGGCGAAACGTGAGCCTGGGCGCAGAAAGGCAGGTGGACTGTTGGGGTGGCCCAAAGAGCCTCCCTAGTTTGTGTTGCCTGAAAGCCTTCCCCTGGAGACACAGCCCGCTATCAGCAGCGGCAGGAGCTAGTGAGTATTTTGGCTGAATGTGACGTATTCCACTACTTTTTGAGAATCTTGGGCCTGTTCCCCATCATGCTTCAACACCTTTCCACTTCTTATCAGTGATCCTGAAAGCGCTCAACACAGGGTCACTGACCATTTTACACACTATGAAACAAAGGGAGAATGAGCAAGGAAGTCTTTATCGCTTCCAGGACTTATTACCAAAAGGAAGAGGGATAAGAGTAGTATTCTAATTTAGAGAGAGTAAAACTCAAGCGTGGAGGACTCTACTCAGAAGTCACAGAATAAATCCCGGAACCGCCCAGGTCCTTCTAATAGGCAATCGGCGCTCTAGGCACGTCCATGCCATCCCACAGGGGCATCTGCAATCTGCCACAAAATTAGATCTTCTCTGTCCAGGTCTAACAATTAAAGTTATATACATGGGCCTGCGTGTATGTTCTCCACAAATGACAAGATATTACACATGGAATTATGTGTAAGCATTCCAGTGTTCACACGGGATCCAGATGTACTGATCCTACTAAGCTGTGGTTCAGGTCAAGCTCAAGGCACACTGTTTTTAAAGTTAACAGCATGGGACTCTGCCTCTGTTTCCTGCCTTGTCGCACCCAGCTGTGATTGGACAAGAGCCCATCAAGCCCCTTGGGTGGACGGATGACTTCCTCTTTTGCCCTTACCTCCCTTTTCCAGAGGAAGTGCCCAGAAGATCTCACCTCTCTTCATCACAATTACCTTATTAGCACATTCTCCCCTGTCCTCTGGGATGGGCTGCGCAGTCTTGAGCTCCTGCAGCTCCTGCTGGCAGAGCAGGAAGTCCTGCTCCAGCTGATCATACATGTGCCTCTGCTGCTGCAGCTCCTCCTGGCTGCTCTGGTACAGCTGCTTCAGGTCCTGCAGCTGGGACTGCATCTCTGCGTTCTGGGCAGGGAGGCAGGCCCACCATCATCCTGCAGCAGGCGCCTGCACTCTCTCCTCTCAGGCAGTAATGAAGGGGTCCTACCCTGTCCTTTCCAGTCCCAATTTCACCCCACGGAGGCCTCCCCGAGATGGACGAGTCCCTAACAGGCTTTACACAGAGACCTTCCAGGGCTTCCATTTTGGGGAGTGGGGAAAGGAGAGGGGTTTCTTTTTATAGGTTGATTCCCTGATTTAAAAGAAAAGGAAGCTGAGAGCATTGTGACTCTCTGAGATCACCTTTCTACTAAGCAACTCACCCACGATCCTCCACAGACCTCCTACCATCCCCGCTCCTCTGCACCAGCCCTCACGGCTCAGCCTGGCCCCCTTCTCCCTCACCTGGAGCTCCTTTTACCTTCTCACTGCTCTCCTGCAAGCAGCCCTCGATGTCTTTGAGGCGCTGCACCTCTGCCTCATGGTACTGCAGGTGCTCCCGCAGCTGCTGCTGCGCGTCCAGCAGGGTATTCTTCTCACACATGAGGTTCTCGTACTGCACCTGCAGCTTATGTAGCCGGCACAGTAACTCCTATGGCGGAGGGGGCTTTGGGCAGTACCCCTGGGATCCTCAAACCACTCACTCTTCGGCCTGAGTCACTCTGACACAGACGGTCTAAGAAGTGCCCTGCCCTTCACACACTGGCTGTCCCCTCATCTAACACAGTACTGCAGGGCGGCTGCAGTTCTTCACCTGTGGTGCTGCACAGGTGGCGGCTGGAACTACTTCAACTCTCTACTCTTATCCACCTTCCCCAAACCTCCTGGCACCTAAGCTTCCCCTCACCTGTGGCTGCTGTTACCTTCTCAGTTTGGCTTTCTACTGTGGATTTCATGAGTTTGAGCTGCCGGAGCTCAGCCTGCAGTTGGAGTTGCACCTTCAAGAGCTCGGTCTGCTCATCCTGGCTAGCATCGTACTTCTCCTGCAGGGCACAGAGCCTGGTCTTCAGCTCCTCGTTCTGTGGTGGGGAGGATGTGGGTAGAACCCTTACTCTCAAAAACAGCAGACCCCTCTCCAGACCAGTTTTTCTTCCAGATGCAGACATCTTGAGGAGTTCCCACAGGTCTCTGGTTTCTTCTCTGAGGCAGATGCTTGATAGCAACTACCATTTCTAGAACGTAATGCTATGTGACTTCTCCAACTGGTCTCCGGTAGACTGTACCCCTGGTCGCAGGGCAAGAGTCAGCAGAGCACACCCTTACTCTGCGTTCAGCCTCCCTGGCAGTGGTGACTCCATGGAGGCCCTTGTGCCCTCCCCACACTCCTTTCCTATCAGTGTTTACCTGGGTGGCATGGTGGGAAGTCTGAAACCGAAGCACCTCATTCTGGGCACACTTGAGCTCCCTCTGCAGCCGCCTCTGCTCCTCCTCACTGGTCTGGCGATGAAGATGTAGGTCTTGCAACTCACAAGACAATTTCTTACACTTTGGGAAATGAAACAGAAAGGTGACTTACTACAAGTGCATTCCAAGTGCAGGCTGGGAAGAATATATACAGCAGGCAAAGGAGCAAGGCCTCAGAGTACTATCTCCTGCCGTAGTGCATGCCTCCTTTGTCAGCCCCGGTCCTGTGTCTAAGGAGACGTTTCTCGCACAGGCCAGGAGAAGGTAAGAGAGAGACAACAAAAAGGGCCCGCATCCCCCTACCTTGCTCTGCATGTCATGTATCTGCTCCTCAGCTCCCAGAAGCTGCTGTCGCAACAACTGGGCTACCGGATCAGGCTCTAGGAAATCCATTTCTGAAGTCTGAGACTCCGCTGACATCATATTCCTTAGTGTTTGGGACTCCAGCCATTTTTCTGTTGCTCTTTGTGTCCTGTAATCCAGAATCCCAGAGCCGTGTTGGGAGAGAACTCTGCCTAGCATCACCAGTCACACGTGCTTGGTCCTGACGTCTTCGTTTTAGGCAAAAAACGGTACGGAGCCTTTCATTGTGATTTATCTCTCAAATAAACACACTTAGAAGGGTACAAAGTTCCCAGCACCTTAAAGTGAAAAGCCCTGTTTGTTTCTGGGAGACCCTAAGAGTGCCAGTCCAGCTGGGCTTGAGGCTGGGCCTGGGGTCAAGCCAGCTCCAATCTGGAGGACACTAGACTGAATCGAGTCCCGGTGGACAACAAAGCAATCACTTCTGAGCTACTCTAGGGCACAGCAAACCAGATTCTAATGCTTAGAATGGCAGAAAATGAAATTTTTGAAATCACTCAACTCTACTCCTAGACAACTGGCTGGGATCCCCATGCCTGCTTCTAGGCGGTATCTGTATCCTTTGGATCCCACGGGAAGGACCAGGTCTCCAGGAGGAGAGGACGCTCATCAGCTTGGCATCTGCCTTCACCAGTCCTACTCAGGGAAAAGCCAAGTCCCACAGAGCCCCACTAGCTCCTGGCTGTACCTCTTACACTCCAGATCTGCAAGCTGCCCTGTGAGGCTGCTGTTGCTCTCCTGCAGGGCCTGGTACTCCTCGGTCAGGAAGCGGTAGCGTTCCCGCAGCTGCTGCAATTCTTCTGCAGAGGACAAGACGAGAGAGGTGAGGTCCTAGGGAGGAAGCACTGATGACCAGCCCCCAGTTTCCCCGCCTGGAAATCTGATAGCAGAAGGCTGAACAGCTCCTCTTTTTCTAGAGATAGAAGAGATACCACATGCAGAGGCTTAGAAGACAGGGCCCAGAAAATTCCCCACGGCAAAGGGTCTTTGTCTCCTTTCAGTAGCTGCCTTCTATTCATCTTCCCAGATTTTCTCCCTGTGCCCGTCTTCAAAGCCCCAACCAAGGCAGTGTCTTGGGACTTTAGAGCTTGTGATGGTTTAATTGTTTGGTTTATTGTATTTAAAGTTTCCACTGAACTGTTTGATTACCTTCCTGTTACACTTTAAGAACAAAACCTGAGAGATGTGAACTGCCGGGTGTCACACTGCCAGTCTTGGCCTTTTGGAGACAACCTGGGCATCCTGAAGGTCTTAACTTCCTTCGTCACCACACCAAATACATTGGCCTCATGTGGTCAGGAATTCTTCCTAACGGATCTCCCATCTGCTAACAGAGGGCCTGTTCCAACCAGACCCACACGACACCTTCAGGCAGCCACAGAGATCTAGCTGAAGCGCCCCAGCACATGTCCCTCACTATCAGGTACCAATAATTCCTTTTTTTTTTAATCCTCACCCAAGAATATTTTTCTATTTATCTTCAGATAGAGTGGGAGGGGGAGAGAGAGAAAGAGAAACGTTGATGAGACAGAGATGCATCGATTGGTTGCCTCCCACATGACCCCGACCAGGGCCTAGGACCAAACCACAACTAAGGTACGTGTCCTTGACTGAAATCAAACCCTCAGTTCTTTGGTCTGTGGGCCGATATGCTAACTGCTGAGCCAACCGGCCAGAGCATGGTACGAATACTTCTTCATGCTGCTATAATACAAACACCCATATCTGTTTTCTTTCTTCATGATTAAGAATTATTTCTCGCCCTGGCCGGTTTGGCTCAGCAGTTAGAGCATCCGCCTGTGGTCCGGAGAGACCCGGGTTCGGTTCCCGCTAAGGGCATGTACCTCGGTTGCAGTTTGTCCCCGGCCCTGCTTGGTCGTGCGGGTGGCAGCCACTCGATGTGTCCCTTTCACGTCGATGTTTCCCTCTCTCTCCCTCCCACTCTATCTGTACAAAAAATGGAAAAGTGTCCTCGGGTGAGGATTAAAAAAAAAAAAAAAAAAAAGAATTATTTCTCTGCCCAGCCCATGTGGCTCAGTGGTTGAGCATCGACCCATGCACCAAGAGGTCGCTTGTTTGATTCCTGGTCAGAGCACATGCCCAGGTTGTGGGCCAAATCCCCAGTGAGGGGCATGCAGGAGGCAGCCAATTGATGTTCTCTCTCATTGATGTTTCTATCTCTCCTCTCCCTTTCTCTCTCTCAATAATCAATACAGAAAAAAAAATTTTTTTTAACAATTATTTCTCTTAGAATACTAATTCTACAGATACTTAACACACAAGGCCTACCTTACCTACTGTCAGCTTCAACACCCTGAAATTTACTTGGAACACTGCAGTTCCATAGACTGAAGGAAGGAAACTAATCTTTAATGAGAACCAACATGGGACTTGATGGTTTCAGCCTTGGGTTCAGTCAGTGTGTGAGTGTTTTTAACAAACGAGGCATTTCATTTGACCCCCAAAATAGCCCCATAAGGCTTTTTTTATAAAACAAACTTTTAATTTTAGAATAGTTTTAGATTTACAGAGAAGTTGCAAACAGTGCAGAATTCCCTGGGTGAGTGCTCACCTAGTTTCCCCTATTGTTAGCATCTGACAATGGGTCCATTTGTCATGATGGAGGAATCAAGGTGGTACAGTACTATTAACGAAACTCTGTATTTTATCCATATTTCTCTACATTTTCCCTAAGGTCCTTTTCCTGTTTCAGGATCTCATCTAGCAGATGGCTGAATAGCTCCTCTTTTTATTAACCGATTTTTACATAAATGGAAACTGAGGTTTAGAGAGATAATAATGAGACTAAGTTCATTCTGCTAATCGGCGGAGCTGAGACGCTGAGCTGAGGTCTGTGCAGGTCCAGCCCACGCCTTTCCGCGGGGCCGGCCACCCTCTCCTAGCTTCACCGATCCAAAGATTCTTCCGAGAGGCTTGTTACAGCTGGGAAACCTTGCACTTCTTTGGTTCTTTTTTGATTTGCCTTTGCTTGATGTGGCCTAATATAAGGCCTCCCATTATACCCAGACCATCAATCTAGCCTCAGAATAAAGGCAAACTCTCTGATGTCATGAATCCTAGCAACTAGCTGGGAGACTCATTGTCTGAAAGCTTTTGAGCTCTGAGCTTTTGAGTACCTCATGTATTAATAAAAATAACCTCCCTTCCTCACCAGCTGTCTTGTGCTTTGCTTTGTTGCCCCCTAAAGCTTCTACTTTGGGGAGAGCTAAAGCAGCATAAGAATTAGCATCCTGGGGCCTGGGAGCAAGGCTGCAGAACCCCCAGAAAGCCATCCAGGCAAAGCGCCATAGCAATAGGAAGAGTTTCCTAAGGTGACAGGCCCCTGTACTCCCATCCAGGAGGGTCTTTTCCAGGGAGGGTTTCAGCAGAGCCAAGTTAACAAATGCCTGATGGCCCTCTAAGAAAGAGTTCTCAGGGTACATCTCCAGGGTGCTACTTCTTACACCACGATGAGCTGATTATGTGACTCTGGGTAAGTGTTTGTCCCTTATAGTCTTGATTCAACCTGGAGATTTTTTTCTAGAGGTTCCCAATTCATGATCTAAGACCACCTTCCACCACCTCCTTGCACACTATCTCCCTTTACTTGAATTGACTGACAGACCAGGAGAAGGGCTCGCATGCTCATACCTTGTATGTCAGAGAAATCCGAGTGACTATAACTATTGGATGAGTCAGAGGTCTTCATTTCCATTTCTGCACGGAGGGAGGTGATCTCCAGCTCATACTCTCCCCGAATACGGTCCATGTCATCAAGTTCATTTTGCAGCCGGCAGAGGTCCTCCTGCAGGGATGCTATGTCACTCTCATGTTCGGTCGCAGAATCCTCCGCGGCTTGTCGCAGAGTGTGGATCTCCGTCCGGGCCAAATGCAATTCTCGTTCTATTTCCTTAAGTTCACGTTCTTTCTCACGCTCTAACAGGGAGATCTCCTCCCGTAGAGACCGCAGCTCACCTGCAAAGCCCAAAAGTTAGGATGGTCAAGGGGATAAGTGAAGTAATCTACCATGTTCTAGAGGCACAAAGGTAAAGGGAGATGATTTCTTATCTGAAAACTCCTGTCAACCTAGTCTGTACCCCATCAGAGAAGTATAAATACAGGTATAAAATAAAGAGACTATCTAAGAAGGGAATAGAGAGTGAATCTATGTAGTAAGGTAGTAGAAAAGTAGATTTTGAGGCTTGGCATCAAAAGCAAAACTCAGGTTACTGAAAACAAAAGGTATTATTAGTGCTTCTAAAGAATCGCCTATTGGTCTGTGTATTTTACTTATGTCCTGAGTCTTTTAAAAAATTCCCTGGCTAAAACAATTTACACGGACTATTCTCATCTATTCAGTCTGGGAGCTTAGAAATTAGAGGCTCAGCGTTCCCATGAATTGCCTGTGGTAAGTGCTGGCCCCAAAATAACGTATATTTAGAGTTCACAGCTGAAATTCAAATGTAGGTTCATTGTGCGATAACCAACATGGGAAGAGAACCTACATGCTGATTGAGAAGAGATTGTTTAAATTGATGGTGGTTAAATAGAATATCAGCAGTCATTTTTTTAAAAAATGGCAGGTTTATAGAGAAGACATGAACAGGTTTCCATAATATACTAACTAGAAAGAAAAATCAGCTATAAAATATATTGCATTATCTTATTTTTACAAAGAAAATTTATATGTACAATATATAACACAAATATGCAAAGACATAGGAAGAGGTCTGGAAAGATCTGTGTGCCAAGCTACAAAGAGCAGTTCCTTCTGAGGAGCGAGACAGCATGTGATGGGGACCTTTACTTTCTATATCATATAAATTGGTGCTGTTTGAATGTTCATAACAAGCCTCTATTTTTTTTTTTTTTCTTAATCCTCACCAGAGGACTTTTTTTTTTTTTTTGGCATTTAATGTTTTATTTGATGCATGTCACTTAGTTAAGAAGTTAATTTAACCAGAGGACATTTTTGCATTTATCTTCAGATAGAGCGGGAGGGAGAGGAGGGGAAGAGAGAGAGAGAGAGAAGCATCGATGTGAAAGAGACACATTAACTGGCTGCCACCCACACGACCCCAACCGGGGCCGGGGACAAACTGCAACCTAGGTACGTGCCCTTAGCGGGAACCGAACCCAGGTCTCTCTGGTCTGCAGCCGATGCTCTAACCGCTGAGTCAAACTGGCCAGGGCTCTATTTTATTTCTTTATTGATTTTAGAGAGAGAAGAAGGGAGAGAGAGAGAGAGAGAGAGAGAGAGAAATAGAAACACTGATGAGAGAGAACATTGACTGGCCCCCTCCTGCATGCCCCCCACTGGGGACTGGGCCCACAACCTGGGCATGTGCCATGACTGGGAATCAAACTGGCGACCTCTTGGTGCATGGGTCGATGCTCAACCACTGAGCCACACTGGCCAGGCTTTTATAATAGATTTTAATTTACAAAAGAAATGTGTCAGAGCTCTCAGTATCTGTGGAACACCTCGGTTTTTGGACATGGGTAATCTGGGATTGGGAGAACCTAAAAGTGGAGAGAGAATAAAAGACCCTGGCACCAATCAAGAATTCAAAATTCAGGAGCCAGGATTAGAGCATTAAGGAGGATTGTGTTGGGAGGGTCAGGACCTTCCCACAAACCCTTTGCAAGTCACAGTCCTTATCCCTCGTCCTCAACTCCTGCTTCATTCTACTCACCATACAGATTTCAACTTTCCCTAGCCACTGTCCCTTACTTCCTCAAAAAAATAAGCAAGCCCTCTATTAAATGCTCTCAAAGCAGCATGCAGAGTGTGTGTGTGTGTGTGTGTGTGTAAAACTTTGATCTCCTATTTACTTGGCTATAAGCTTCATGAAGGCAGGGAACATAACTGTTTTGCTCATCATTATAGCTCCAGAATTTGTTATAGTAGCTGGCATAATGCAGCTTGTTAAGTATTTGCTGTACTCATGCATAAATGAGGCAGGGGTCATCTACTGAACAAACTTTTACTGAGTACTATAAGAAGAAAATCTTGAGACATACTGCAGCTGTACCTGCTGAGTGGGCAGGGTGTCTCGGGCAGAGGGAAAGGTCTCCTGCCCTCCTCTCTCAAGCTCATATGTGCAGCTTTGAGCGCATCTTTTGCCAGACTTTCCATCTCTAGAATGACTCCAGCTGTCTCCTCTTCTTAGTCTATTCAAATATTAATTGATCATCACCTCGGTAGCAAGCCCAAGCATCTCTCCACTGAGCTTCTCTGACTTCCTTCCAATTTGAAAGGAACAAAGTCCTTGCTCCATCCACTACTGAACAGCACAGAAGTGGTCTGCCTCTTGGAGCTTAGAGTCTAGTGGGGGAGATACACATGTCAACTGGCCATTAGGATAAAGGCTCTACAGCCTGGGGTAGACTTCTGTGGGGGCTGAGTAACCTCCACTTCCTTACTGTGCCCTTGATGTTTGGGTTCAAATTTCCCTTACGTTCTCCTCTGGTGTCTAGCCCTAAAAAATGACATCCTCAACTCCAAGAGGAACTGAGGAAGATCTCCCCACTTCCTGCCTCTTCATTAGGAACACAAGGGGCAGGACCCGCAGTGGTACGAGGGGCGGGGCTTTCAGGCCCGAGGGAGGGGCTTATCCAGAAGCCGGGGCGGGGCGGACTCTGGCTCGGACGGCATCCGGCTGGGAGTTGGCAGGGCCTAGCCAGTACCGAAGAGCTGGCACCGGTTGACAGTGGGGCTGGGGCTGAGGGGGCAAGGCCAAGGGTCCAGAGTCCAGCAGTCGGGCTCCAGGACAGAGATGTCAGTTGTCACTTACTGGTTATGGCCTCCATCTCGTTGGCCCCCCTTAAGCAGTTTCCCTGGGGGGGCCTCCCGCCACTGGCCGGTCCGGCCCCAGAGGGGCTGTGGCGGCCGAACGGCCTCCCAACACCAGATACCTCTGAGGCCTCGCGCGCCCCCTCTGGGTGGAAACGGGCAACGCACGTGCGCAAGGATGGTCTGTTTATTCCGTGGGGTGGGGATTGATTGGGGCCCTTCACCAGATCTATGGCCACTACCCGCATCCTCCCCCCCCCCCCCCAGACTTCTTCCCCACTTGGATGAGATCTGATGCCAAAATAACCCTACTGAGCGAAATTGCTCTAGAACTTTATTTTCCCATGTTGTTTCCTACCTGCCTCTCTACTTAGATTCTGATTTCATTTTTGAAAGGAAGAATGTCCCTTATCCAAGCAAAGGCCTTTTTATGCTGTACTGGATCATTCCCTTCATCATAAAAACATGATCTAGTGTGTCCTATCTTAAAAAAAAACAACAACAATCCCCAAACACTCTCCCTTGACTTGATTTCTCATTCCTTTATTTCTCTGCCTCTCTTCAAAACATGACGGCTGGAATGATCTGCACTCACCTTCTCCATTTCACCTCCCCTTTCCCCTTCAGTCCCAGTCCCGTCAGGCTGCCATCTGCTCGGAAGTAGCTCAGAGCCCTCCATCTTGCCAAATCAAAAGGCCATCTTACTGGACTAAGCAACTTTTGACACAGTTGATTATCTCCTTGAAGCACTTTCTGCTCTTGGTTTCCAGGCATGAAACGCTTCAGTAGTTCCTCCTACCTCAGTCTCTGTTTGTTCATTTCTCCCTCTATATTGGACCTTTAAATACTAGAGTAACCCTTCCCTTCCTGTATCTCTATGTGATTTTGGTGATCTTCCATAGATTTTTTTTTTTTTTTAAATCCTTACCCGAGGATATTTTTCCATTTATCTTCAGATAAGAGTGGGAGGGAGGAAGGGAGGGAGGAAGAGAGAGAGAAACATGGATGTGAGAGAGACACACTGATTGGTTGCCTCCTGCATGACCCTGACCAGGGCCAGGAACTGAACTGCAGCTGAGTCCGAGGAATGTGCCCTTGACTGGAATTACACATGAGACTCTTTGGTCCACAGGCCCACACTCTAACTGCTGAGCCAAACTGGCCAGAGTGATCTTCCATAGATTCGAATGCCATCTATATGCTAATGACTCCCAAATTTATATCTCCGATTTCTCCCCTGGTTCTAGATCTATAGATCCAATTTAACATATTTGCTTTGATATCATTAGCCACTTCAAACTCAACATGCAGAAAACATGTCTTAAATGCTTCCCCTAGCCCCCAAGTCTTCCCATCCCAATAAAGGACACCACCAACCAACCAGTTTAAAGCAGCCATCTCTTATCCCCCATCTAATTCATCAGAAGTCCTAAAGGCTTGACCTTCAAAATCTGTGAATCATCTTCATTCCAAGCAACCATCACCTCCTCCTGACCGAACTACTGCAATAATTTGCTGACCAGACTCACTGTTTTAACTCTGTTCCCTCCATCCAATTTTCACACAGTGGCCAAAGTGCTCTTATTTTTTGTTTTAAAAAAAGGTAATGTGCTTTTTTTTTTTTTAATGATTTTTTTTTTAGAGAGAGAGGGAGGGAGAGATAGATACATTGATGTGAGAAACATTCATCAGCTGCCTCCTGCACGCCCCCTATTGGGGATCAAGCCCATAACCTGGGCATGTGCCCTGACCAGGAATCAAACAAACTACCTTTGGGTGTACAGGATAACACTCAACCAACTGGACTATACTGGCAAGGGCTGAAGTGCTTTTTTTAAAATGTAAAGCAGATCATATTACCCCAGTCCTGGCTAAGACCCTCTCATGTCTTTCTGCTAAACTTAGGATAAAAGCCAAACGTCTCAGGTGGCCTACAAGGCCCTTTGCCTCTCAGAACTCTCCTAACAGGGTCCTCCACATGCACTTCCTTTCAGCCACAACAGCTTTGTACTGTCCTTCAAACACAGGAAGATCATTCTTGCCTCTGAGCTTTCGCAGTTGCTAGTCCTGCCTGATGTGCCTTTCCCTCAGATCTGTCTCATTATTCAGGTCTTAGTTCAAATGTCACCTTCTCAAAGAGGACTTTTTAAACTACCCTATCAAAAATAAACTCCCATCTCACTCCATCTCTATCAGATTGTTATATTGTATTCACAGCATTTATTGTTACCTGAACTTGTTATTTTATGCCTCTCTTTATTAGGACGTATTCTTCATTAGGCAGTGATCTGGCCTGTCTTGTTCACAGCTGGTCCTCCAAGTATACAGGCACTCCGTAAATGGCTGATAAACAAATAAATTAGCCCAACTTTATAGATAAGGAACCAAGTTTCAGAAAGATAAAAGTGACTTTCCCAAGAGTACAAAGCTTGTTATATGGCTGAGCTGGGCCCAAGAATCTAGGTGAGACCAATGCTCACACTCTTTGCCCTGTATAACACATCTCCTCTCCTTCCTTCCTTCCTTCCTTCCTTCCTTCCTTCCTTCCTTCCTTCCTTCCTTCCTTCCTTCCTTCCTTTCTTTCTTTTTTTAATATATTTTTTCTTTATTGACTTTAGAGAGAGAGGAAAGGAGAGGGAGAGAGAGAAACATTGATGAGAGAGAACACTGACTGGCTGTCTCCTGCATGCCCCCCACTGGGGATCAGGCCCACAACCTGGGCATGTGCCCTGACCGGGAATCAAACCGGTGACCTCTTGAGGCATGGGTTGACTCTCAACCACTGAGCCACACCGGCTGGGCGCGTCTCCTCTATTTCTCTCCTCCACCCTCCTGGACGAATTGTCTACTTCTCCTGCATCTACGTTTACTTATATCTTCTTTCCCTCACCCTCTTCTACCTTTGCTTTGTCTTCTCCAGGCCTGCTTCCTGGCCTTCCTTTTTTCTCCATTTATACTTTTCTTTTGGCTTGATCTCCCTTATCCCAGGAGAGTCCCTGCTGTTTTCTAGGGCAGCTCCCCTAAACCTTCCGGAAGCCCACAGAAATAACAAAAGCTGCTTCTTTATTTGGTGGTACAGTGGAATGTGGGACACCTGCCTTGCTGCTTCCCAGAGACAAAGGGAATGTGGGCGTTAGAAGAAAGGGATTTTGGGGCCACAGTTTGGTCCTAGGGAACAAAAGAAATGTTTTCATCTGCTTTACTTAAAAGATGTATAGCCCTGCCCTGGCCGGTTTGGCTCAGCGATTGGAGCATCGGCCCATGGACCAGAGAGTCCAGGGTTCGGTTCCCTCCAAGGGCACGTACCTCGGTTGCAGTTTGTCCCCGGCCCCGGCTGGGGTCATGTGGGTGGCAGCCACTGGATGTGTCTCTCTCACATTGATGTTTCTCTCTTTTTCCCTCCCACCCTGTCATTAAAAAAAAAAAAAGATGTATAGCCCTGTCTGGCCGGTGTGGCTCAGTGGTTGAGCGTCAGTTGACCCATGCACCAAGACATCGCCAGTTCGATTACTGGTCAGGACACATGCCTAGGTTGTGGGCCCGATCCCCAGTGGGGGACATGCAGGAGGTGGCCAATCAATGTTCTCTCTCATCAATGTTTCTCTCTCTCCCTCTCACTTCCTCTCTCTCTAAAATATATAAAGAAAAAAAATGTACAGCCCTGGCCAGTGTTGGTCAGTGGTTAGAGCATTGGCTATGCAATGAAGGGTCACGAGTTTGATTCCCAGTTAAGGTCGTGTACCTGGGTTGCAGGTTCGATCTCCAGCCCCAGTCAGGGAGTGTGTGGCATGCAACCAATTGATGTGTCTCTCTCATATCGATGCTTCTCTCTCTCTCTCTCTCCCCCTCCCTCCCTTCCACTCACTCTAAAAATCAATGGAAAATATCCTGAGGATTCACATACACAAAAAAAGATGTATAGTCGTCCTTCTCCACTTTGCGCTTGGATTTTTGCAGCTTCACTCTATTGTGGTTTTTTTTTCTTTTCTTTTTTTTATCCTCACTCAAGGACTTTTTTTTTTGCATTTATCTTCAGATAGAGCAGGAGGGAGAGAGGGAGGAAAAGCGAGAGAGAAACATCAACATAAAAGAGACACATTGAATGGTTGTCACCCACAGGACCCCAACTGGAGCCGGGGACAAACTGCAACCAAGGTACGTGCCCTTAGCAGGAACCGAACCAGGGACTCTCTGGTCCGCAGGCCAACACTCTAACCGCTGAGCCAAACTGGCCAAGGCTATTGCAGTTTTTTTCAAATATAGTCAATAAAAAGTTGATCGAGACAATGAAAATGATACAGTGTGCACTCAGTTGTCTGAGTCAATTATACACCCCTGTATTACAATTAAAATTAAAATTACTGTACGTATGGACTGTAGGCCTATGTATTTGAGCACCCCAGGAATCCTTCAACGCCAGGTGCAACTGCTAGAGTCTGGAATGGATTAACCTCGATAAAGGAGGGACGACTGCATAGAGTCCCCTCCAGCCACGTCTCACTGGCTCACTGCTCTTCCCTTGGTGCCCTTGGAGGGCCAGGAAAAAGCAATCTAGTTTGGAATTCAGTCCTGATCACCCACCCCTGGCACTGACCAGGAAAACCAAGGAACAGATGTAGGTGTGAAGGGAGGAGGCTAAGGGAGAGAAAGAGAGAGTTAACCACAGGGAGAAGGGGTGAAATGGGAGGGCAAGAAAGAAGACAGAAGAGCCAGGCAGAGAAGCAAAAAGAAAGGGAATTAGATAAAGAGGGGAATGGAGAGATATGGAGAAAAGGTGAAATTAGTAGAGAAAAAAGAGGAGAAAGTACTGAATCAGGTTATGTTTGTCTGCTATGCTTCAGCCAAACCCTCAGGACAGAAGTACTGGATGGCCACCACCTCTCCAGCCTGAATTCTGGAAATTACCTTGGAGCTGCTGGATCTGCTTGGTGAACACCTCTGCCTGCTGGGCGCTGGCCAGCCGTTCATCCTCCAGGAGCCCTGCAGTGAGAGGGGGAGCCAGCATCAGGCCTGGGATCCAGTGAGCACAGAGCCTCTGGGCCCAGGCCCTCTGGCCATCAGACGCTCACCCTGCAGCTCCAGGGAGTCATCCTCATGCTGCCCTGCCAGCTCCCGGGTCTCTTCCAGCTCTGCCACCAGCTGTAGCACCTGAGCCCTCAGCTCCTCCAGCTCTGTCTCCGTTAGGCTGAGGCCCCGGTGCTTGCCCAAGGACAGGGAGCCCAGATTGCCACCTTTCTGCACTTGCTCCTCTTCTTCTTCCACCTCTTCTTCCTCCTCTTCCTCTTCATAGAGAGCTGGAAGTAACACTTCCCCTAGGAAAGACACCCATCCCACCAGGGAGTCAGAGACAACTTCCTTTCTAGGGTCCTTCTAGGGCGGGCCCTCAAACTCACTGTCTCAGGCCAGAGATGGTATAATAGTGCCACCTGGTGTCCCCCAAGGACCCCCATGGGCAGGACCTGTACTCAGGAGTCCTCAGGTGTAAGGGTCAAGTTTGGAGGTAGCCCATCCCCCTCCCAGGCCCTTTCTGGACCAGTATTGCACCTGGTGGCCTCCCATTACTGCCTTTCAGCCAACTGAGCAACTGGGTGCTGGCTCAGCCACATGAAGCTTGCGCGAGGACACCTGCTTCTTCCAGTCCTGGTGTCTGGATAGTGGGACAAGTAGTCAAGAAAGGATTCAGACACTGGGCATAACTTAGGCCAAACAGGGCAAGAGTTACATTGGAGGTTTGTAGAAAGTTAAAAATCATCCCAGTAGCTTGTGAGAAATTAGCCGTTCCATAATAAAGAGGCATTATTGCCTGTCAGCAAACGCTTAAATGAAGAAAATGCTTAAATGAAGTGATTTTGAATGTTTTACTGGACAAAAATGGGGGTCCTTTCAGGTGTGTTCTTTTTGACATTTCTACAAGGTCCACCTTCCTTTTCCCTGCTGAATGTTTGTGGTGGGGGGATGGGGGGTCACCTCTCCCTTTCCTGAGTGTTATGAGGTCCCTCCTCCCCTGGTGACCACAATGCTGTTTTTCAGGGGGAAGTCTGAAGCTGTGCTTGTGTGTAAAGGCTTAATGCACTGAAAACCGGGGTGTGCTTGTCCCCAGCCTCTGGTTGGTGAGCACCCCTTCCTTTGCTGCAATGCAGTCCCTCTAAATAGCAAAAATCTTATCTGGATGGTGATTTTTGCTTTGTTTTAAAATCTGAATCCCTGGTCTTATTTTCTCCATTAACAGAAGCCTAAAGTTCATTTGGGGGTCCCTTGAATCATCTGTCCCCCTTGGGGAAGCAGGGTTGCCTACACTGAGTGTGCACAGGGGTCTGGGGACACTTCATAAGAAGTCCTGGAAAAGGGATCAGCATCCTTTCAGGGGCCTGGTGTTGGCAGCAACCACGAAGTCCCATGGGTGTGGTGGGCACACAAGAGGGTCTTCTCACCTGCACCCCTCCCCGGCAAGCTCTTTCAGCCAGTAAGATGTTCCAGAGAACCAAAGCCACAAGGCTTGTATATGCAGTTATGGTGGTGGCACCACAAAGACAATTCACATACTCACTTCCCTGCTTTTCAAAATAAGAGACAGCTTGGGATGTGGGTCGGGAGGCAGTAAGAACCAACCCCCTGCTGAAAAACTCTGTCCAGCTGAGGCTTGTTCCTGTCTGGCAGCTCCCCCAGGACACATAGCCTGTTTAGGCGATTAGGGCCCCACAGGGGTGCACCTGGAACCTCCCTCAAAGCCTGAGCCCTGAGAAGGGGTAGAGGGGGCTAAGGTGAACTGGGGAAGAGCTGTGTCCCGGCTCAGAGTTCTGGGGGTCAGAGGGAGGAAGAAGCAGGGAAGAGAAATTGGGCAAGGGTGAGAGAAAGAAAGCTTTCTGGGAAAACTCACCCTCCATAGCTTGCATCCCCCGCCGCTCCAGGGACCCCCAGCGTTGGCCTTTTTTCCTCTCACATCCCTCAGACACCTCATAGGAGCCTAGAGTGGTCACTGTGGGACCTGTCAGCAGGGACCGAGGAGGAATCGTCTGATGCTAGGGGCGGCTGGGGGCTGGGGTGCAGGGGAGAGAAGGGGACGTGCCTTCTAGCCCTGTGAAGCCCTGGAGGAAGTGCTCAGCTTATCTGAGGAATGAAGCTAATTCTGCTTCAGCCGTGCCTGGAGCTGCGCTTGCGGGGACCCCACCCTACACCCTCCTCAGCACCCCCTGTTCCAGGCTCCTCTCTTCTGCACAGACGGAAAGTGTGTGTGTCTCTTTAGCCCAAAGGGGACAGGAGGAGAGAGGCAAGGATGGGAAAGAAGACAGGAACCAGTCAAGAAGCGGCTAAAAGGGTGAGGTGGTGCGTGGAAGGAGGCAGGTGATGGGGGGCGGGGCTGTGGGAAGGGGTCTAGGCCAGAGAGGCTCCCCTCCCCTCCTCTCCCCTCCCCTCCTCTCCCCTCCCCTCCGCTCCCTTCTCCCCTGGACCTCGCCCGCCCCACCCTCGCCCCGCGCTCTTCAGCCCTCGGGCCGGAGGGGTGCAGGGTCTGGGGCCCGCAAGGCTGGAAGCACCACCGGGCTGGAAAGATGAAATGGAGAGGGCTCAGGAGAGGGACTGTCAGGAAAGACGTGGCCAGTGGAGGAAGACCCGGCCCGGGTGGGGGGTGGGATGGAGGGAGGAAGGCAGGAGGGAAGGTGGGAGCTACAGAGGGAGGGAGGGAGGCATGGGGGTCCGCTGGGAGGAAAGATGGAGAAGAGGAAGGAGCGGCGGTGGAGAAGTGAGAAAGGGGCGGCTCTGACCTGGGCCCGGGCAACTCCAGCTCGCGGCGCCCGCGCCGGCCCCGGCACCCGCCTCCATGGCCGCTCGCGCCGCCGCCGTCCCCTGGAGCAGACGCTGCAGCGGCGAGGCCGGGACCTGGAGCGGGGCGCGCAGGGAAGGGGGGGCGGGCCGGGGGCGGGGCCTGGCCCGGCCACCTGACGCTGCCCCCGCCCGCGGTCGGCCACCGCCCGGAAGCCCTGCTTGCAGCCGGGCTTAGGAACCCGGGGCCGGCAGGTGGGCGCGGGGAGGGCGAGGGAGTTAGTCCCCGGACACGCCCAGGGTCGCGCTCGGGGAGAGGGGCGAGCGGACCGAAGCTATTCGGGGCTTGAGGCTGCCCCAGGAGGAGCGTGGTGCCCTGGCCTGGCAGTGGTTCCTGTCGAGTCGGCTGCGCTCGGGGACCGTCCCTCTCAGTGCGCTCAGTGATGGGGAGGAAAAGAACAAGGATGGACACATCCTCCCCGCTTGTTCCTCCAAAGGCACAGACACACTGCCACCGTGCAGGACCGCGGCTGTCAGCGCGGAACCCCACTGCCCGCCCGAGTCCTGCGCGGTGGCTTCTCGTGCCCCAGAGCTGCGTGAGGGCTGGAGGAAGAAAGCCAAGGCCAACATAAGCGAAATAGCGGGCCTTGTCTCTCTGCTTTCCCGGAGCCCTCACCAAATCGAACCAGGGACCCTCTTAGGAGGGCCCGCCCTGTGACCCCACGCAGCCTTCGATGCCCAGAGACCTCTCTCTCCACCGCCTGGCCTTCCCACCTGGCCCCAAACCCCGTGGGCTGCGAGCCACGATCTCCACGCACGCCGCCAGTATAGCCGACGCAGAATGGGAACTGCTGATTTCACTTGTGTAGAAGGGAGAGGTGGAAGCCCAGAGGGCTTATTTCACTTATTCATTCAATCATTCATTCAAGGAATGTAAGTCTACCAGGTGCCCAAGGCAGTTGTTCCCACACCTCTGCAGGTCTCATCAGGGAAAGAGTGGTACGTACACACTTGGGAACTGGGGCGTCCCAGCACATCCAGAAAAGGATGAGATTCCTAAGCCAGGGAGCACATCAGTCCCTTCTCCTACATACCCACTCACACAGGTCAAGGATACATGTTATCTGTGTTCACTCCCACAGGCTCCCAAGTTCACAAGCCCTCTCTAATCCTCAGGAAAGAAGTACTTAGTCTGAACATCCCCTACTTACTCTTCAACCCTAGGTGGGGAGTCACCTGTAGGCAGCCTTCCCCATCCCTATTAGAGGCCCCTGTTGTGCTCCGCCCTCCCCTCCTTCCCTCTAGAGTGGCACCAGTCACTCTGGGTTGTCAAGGTCAGGTGTTTACTCTGGTTTTTTTTTTTTGTTTGTTTTTAAACATGTTTTTATTGATTTTACTTTATTTTATTTTTTAGGGAGAAGGAGAGAAATACAGATGGGTTACCTCCTGCATGCCCCCCACTGGGAATCAAAACCCAGGCATATGCTCTGTCTGGGAATGGGACCGGAACCTCAGTCCATGGGCTGAGGCTCAATCCACTGAGCCACACTGGCTGGGCATGTTGTTTTTTATTCCTCACCTGAGGATATTTTTCCATTTATCTTCAGATAGAGCCAGAGGGAGGGAGAGAGGAAGAGAGAGAGAGAGAAACGTTGATGTAAGAGAGATACATGGACTGGTTGCCTCCGCCAAGACCCCAACCAGACAGGGAAAAACCGCAACCGAGGTTCATGCCCTTGGCCGAGATCGAACCCAGGACTCTGATTCACCGGCTGACACCCTAACCACTGAGCAACCGGCCAGGGCATTGTTGTTTTTAATCCTCACTGTAGGATATGTTTTTATTGATTTTACAGAGAGAGGAAAGGAGAGAGAGAAACATCAATGTGAGATAGAAACATCCATTGGTTGCCAAGGATCGAACCCACAACCTTGGTGTATCAAGAGGATGCTCCAACCAACTGACCACCTAGCCAGGATCAGGTGATTACTGTTCTGTCTGCCTAATTTATGGAAGGTTGGGAAAAATCTTAGTCTTTTTTTGTTTGTTTTATCTCCAGCATCTGACGAAGTACCTGACTCATAGAATAAAAATGAATCTTCCAACTATACAGTTAATACTCTGTCTTATTGTTTAACATGATTTTGCACTTAGGGAGTTAAATGTTTCCCAATAATGATAATGTTGCCCTTTAAGAGTCTCTCTCTCTCTCTCTCTCTCTCTCTCTCTCTCTCTCTCTCTCTCTCTCTCGTCTCTTTTTCTCCCTCTCACCCCCCAGCCCTCTGAGAGATGATGGAGGTTTCATTTGCTCCCGAGAGGTCAGGATAACACTCCAAATCCTGTGGTCAAAGTGATCCCATCGTGGGGAAAGGTTGTTGCACAAGTCCACCCAGACGCCTTCCAGAGGGTCTGCTGCAGCTATCAGGCCTGTCCAGACTTGGGGAGCAGGACAATTGTCAGGGCTGGTGGAAAGAGTCTGGCCTTGCGAGGGCGGGGGGGTGGGGGGGGACACAGAGCTCTGGGGACTGACAGAGCCTAATGCTGAAAGCCTAGTGGCTGTTTGTTCTCCCGTCGTGCGGCTCCTTCTGGTTCTGGTTCAGCCAGTAGGGTCAGTGAGCAGTTGATGTTCACTGCTGACCTTTTGGCTGATGGAGGGAAGGGTAGAGGAGGACATTGTCAACTGTGACATCCAGGGTTCCCAGCTCTCCTCAGGGAGCTCTGATCCTGGGTATTAGGACTAATTTCTCCCTGGCTCTTGGACTGCATGTCGCCATTCACCCTTGATTGGAGGAGCATCTGAACCAATCTATTCTCAGGATCCAAATTTGGGCAAACCCTGGCCAGACCAGCACTGGGTTGAGGATAGAGTTACATTAGGAGGCTGGAGGAAAGGGCTCAGCAGGTATGGGGGGAAGTGGACCGGGGCCCAGGGATGCAGCTCCAAAGTGCCTGAAGAGGTGGGGGTGCCAGTCAGGTGATCATTTTAGGGGGATGATCTAAATTAATCCTTGTAATCCCTGGACTCAGGACTCAGCCTCCCTCCTAATCCCATCCCCATAGCTCATCCTCTCCAAGGATAAATGCAGCCATTTATCCCCCTTTACCCTTATTTCTAAATGCCTAGATCCCGTCATTTAAAAGAAAAAAAAAAGTGTATCTTTTAAGTATGCAGAAAAGTACAGAGAAAAACAGTAAATATCCACGTACACACCACTGAAATCCAACTACTGTTCATTTCTTGCTATATTTGATTCAGAGATAGCACTTCTAGTTTAGTTTTACAGTTTTACTCTCTATGTATGTATTCACAAACACTACAGAATATTGTGTTTAACAATATATCTAAATGGTATTATATTGTATACACTCTTCTGCAACCTTTCTTTTTTCTTCACTTTTAAAAAACATGCATTCATGAATTTTAACTTCTGAATACTATTTCATTGCTTAAATATACCACAATTTATTTATTTATTCTTTTGCTAATGGGCATTTAGGATGTTTTCAGTTTTATTTCATTATAAACAATGCTGCCCCAGACAGTGCTGTGCATGCCTCCTTGGCATTATGTAAGCACCCCTCTAAGGTAGATATCTAGAAGTAGAATTTCTAGCTCATAGAATATGTGCTTAACTTCACCAGTTAAACTTTGCTAGTTATTGCTAAATTGCTCTAAAAAGCAGTTGGACCAATTTACACTCTAACAGTGGCTTTCAATGCTTGTTTAGATTCACTGACATAAATTTCTCTGCTCACCATTCCTTCCTGCATTCTACTCCTTCCTTCTTATGAAGTAAATTCTTTGGTGACATTTCAGTGAAAGTTTTTGAGTAAACATTCTCAGTCATTGTCTTAAAATGTCCTTACTTCACACTATTTACATGGAAATTTAGTGGGGTATAGAATTTGAGGTTGACAGTTTTCTCTTGATATTTTGATCTTTATATAGGGGTGTGATGTGCCATGTATATAAATATATATACCATTCTTTCCCTGATGTCTTTTAACTATTCTTTCATATTTTCTATCTTATCACCTTCCCCCCAAATTTTGAATGATTTAATCAGTTCTATCTTCCAATTCACCAATTCTCTTTCATCTGGGTCCGGTTTCCTATTTAATACATCACTGAGTCTTTAATTTCATTGATGTACCTTTTCTTAACGTTTTATCTTTCCCTCCCAATAAGCTGCCTATTTCATAGTACAATATTTTTTATTATGGCTTATTTTCTTGTGGTTAATCTTTAATGCTTTTAAGTATACTTATGACATAGTGTTTTTCATGTTATTCTGTTAGACACAGTTCTAGGAGTGTTAATTCTTCTGTTTGTCGTGTCTGCTGACTCTTATTTTTTTAAAATATGTTTTTATTGATTTTTTAGAGAGAGAGAGAAGGGAGAGAGAGATAAATATCAATGTGAGAGAGAAACATCAACCCGCTGCCTCCCACACACCCCCGACTAGAGATTGAGCCCTCAACCCAAGCGTGTGTCCTGGCCATGAATCGAGCTGGGACCTCTCAGTCCATGGGACAATGTTCAATCCACCAAGCCACATCGGCCAGGCTGCTGACTCTTTCTTATGGTGGATTACTTCCTTGTCTAGTCTGTTGTAAGCTCTTCTATGGCAGGTGTGTGTGTGTGTGTGTGAGTCCCATCTGTCCTGAGCTATGAAAACATTCTCGCAGAGCTCTTTCTTGCTTCTGTGGGGGTTGTGTGGTATTCCTAGGGATTTTAAGGGTCCAAAACAAGATTCCTTTTTTTTTTCTTTATTGATTTTAGAGAAAGAGGAAGGGAGAGGGAGAGAGAGATAGAAACATTGATGAGAGAGAACATCGATTGGCCGCCTCCTGCATGCCCCCACTGGGGATCGGGCCAAAACCTGGGCATGTGCCCTGACCGGGAATTGAACCAGTGACCTCTTGGTGCAGGGTCCATGCTCAACCATGAGCCATACTGGCCAGGCCAAAACCAGATTTCTGTTTAATTTCTCTGCTTAAGGATCAGTATCGTGCAGATAATGTAAATCCAGATACAATACAAACATTTGCTCAGACT